AATCATAAATTTTTAAAATTGGAGTATGCAACTTCTTGTTGGGATTACAATTCGTTTTTGGATTCTGCAGCATCTTGGAAAATACTGTAGTACTTTTGGTTAATTATTATAAGGTAAAACTTGGAAACTTCTTATATAGTGCTTTTATTTGCAAATTTATATTTTTAAATTTTTAAACAAGCATACTCCTATTGGAATCAATCAAAAGTCGTTTTTTTGTTCTGCATAAACTTGATAATTATTCAAAATTTATGATTTAAAACAAATTGGATTTTTAAGTACATATTTGAATCCTCCTCGCAAAATAATTTTGTTTGCACTTATTCTGAGTTGTCAATATTTCAAACATGCATCCTCTCTTCGACCATGAGACCCCAAAAATCTACCTGCTCCTTAGGGTCCTTAAACCTGCTAATGCGTGTCCTTTGTGCGAGATGTTTTCGAGGGACGAACAAACTCCGACAGTTCTTTTTTCAAAGAATCACATTGTACATTTTTCAATTTTTCGAAGTCTATGATTTTACCGATTTTCGGTGATTTTTGGTGATTTTACACATATGTTGCATAAAGAAGCAAAATATTTACAGAGTTTAATGTTAATTTTCAGGGCGTGTGTATTTGCTTAGAAATTGAAATAAGAATTGTGGACTTGGATATAATAATATGTACATGGAATTGTAATGGGAATAAAGATGTTTGTTGTAAGTTAATCCTGAGTGACAAATATACATATTTATGTCAAAATATTTGCAAGGATGAATAATTAAAACTCACCACAAATAATACTTTTTAATACAAATATATTACATTTTGGCCTAAATTTAATTTGTTGGTAAATCTCCTAAATATATAATAATACTCGTCCTGAAATGTGTCATAATTTATCTGATTACATTATTTTCAATAGCCATCAACAATTAACACTTTCCACTCGCGAATTCCAAGATTTATATGAATTTTGTTGCCGGAGCAGCGCATCCGAGTTGAAAGGTATAAAAGTCCTGTAAACTACTTGACTTTTTATGGATGGCAACCCAAACAGTTGTCCTATCTCTATTATTACAATTTCAAGAATACTGATGATTTTCTTTTACTGATCCAACAATGACGATTAAGGTATATTTTTACTTGACAACATATTGTCACTGCAGCTTGATATCAGACTGTCCAGGTTGAGTATCGAACTTGCAACTCTGATCGCTTCGAAAATATAGTAAACGATTCCCAAAATCCTGATCATCTACAGAGTGTCAATATATATTAATTATTTTCCCAGAATCAATTTCAAATGGTTTTTTTAAGTTGGCAAAGAATTGAATAATCCATCAGAAAAAACATATTTGAACAGACTAAACAAAAATACCTAAAAAATATTAGTTCAAGAGGAATAAACATAAAAACACATTAAAACTGAACGTGATAATTAAAATAAACAAAACGGTTTGCGTGTATTCTAGTGTCAGATCAGTAAATTCTTAACACGATTTTTTAAAAAATTATCACGTTCAAATAGAATGTGTTGATAATGGAAACAAATAGTTTTAATATTTTGCAGCCAAAAATAATCAACGAAAACAAAAGATTCCTTTCTAGTCTTTTACATTTTTGATCGATTTCTGACTCTGATTTCAGACAAAATAAAACACAAACAATAGATCAGAAGATCAAGGTTGTAAAAACTTTGTTTAGAAAACATGTGGCTAATTTGTATTCAGGGCAAATGATCAAGGAATTAATTAAACAACTCTATTGTAAGAATGATCAGGAAACGTGCAGTCGTAAATGTTACTGAATTAAACAGTAATATTATTAATTACTGGTTTTAATCTTAAACAATCTGAGTTTATGGTTGATTTTTATAGCCCAAGAAGCTGGAGACATATTTTTTCGTTTCCTTAGAAAGTAATAAAATACAAAAAAGTAGTAATAGAATTATAGCTGCATAATTATGTTGTCTGAAAAAAAATAGTTTTACAATTTGCCCTTGTAATATATATATTGAATAATGCATATTTATTTTTGAGAACGACAATATATTAAATTTTGCCCCTTAAAACATAATTATTATTCTGAAAGATCAAATTCCCAATTGGATCAAGTATTTATTTGTGAAATCAAGAAGATTCAAGAATAAGCTATGTTATTTCTGATTTTGAAACAAATTAAAGGCTCTAATGGAAAAATAAAAATTTTAAAAATGTACACTCTGAAAAGAACTAGAAATAATTTTTAATATTTTCAAAAATTTATTTAAATTTCTTTTACTAGTTCAAAACGTATCTTACTCTTCAAGTTTGTTCAAATTTTCTTAAAAAGCTGCAGAATTTATTATTTTTATAGGCTAAATCTGAAAATTAGGTATTTGTTATCTGATATCAGATATATTGTGGCTTAAAATCCTTATTTTTGTAAACAATAATACATATAATCAAATTGGTTTAATAATAAGTAGTTTATTATAAATTAGTATAGTAAAATACTCTAAAATCACATTTAGAAAATTTTATATAAAGGCCCCATTTAAAAAAAGACTGTAAAGGATGTGAATTTTCAAATAATATTCAAAATCCTCAGTTTGTAGAAAATTTTATATAAAAGCTTTGTTTAAGAAAAGACTGTAAAAGGTGTGAATTTTTAAATATTATTCAAAATACTCGGTTTAATATTTATAATATTTAGAAAATTTCATATAAAAGCCTTTTTTAAGAAAGACTGTAATGGAAGTATATTTTTAAATATCATTCAAAATACTCAGTTTAATCTTTATAATATTTAGAAAATTTTATATAAAGGTCTTGTAAAATTGATGTAAAATATGGAGAATCTGTTATTCTCATATTCATATGTAAATTCTGATAATTATTACATTATATGCTATCAGGATTATATATGATATTTTTATATGCAAAACAGAACTGCAATGTGTAATTTAACATCTATTCATCTTTATTAATTGATTAATTAAAATAATTACTCATGTCGTACTTTGAGTAATAAATTAAAATTACATAATAAAAACAACAGATGCATTATTATAAACGTCCTTAATAAACGCATTTAAATTTTTTTACAAACATAATTTTTTAGTTACATTACATCTAAAAATGTAGGTAAGGCAATAGGTGAATTTTTTTTTTTCAAAAATGTTGTTTACCTCTGGGTCAAGAATATAATATTTCAGTACTCGAAGCACGAAATGCTTTGAAAATGAAATGTGTACAAAAAAAGCAAAATGTTAGGTAGGAGATATATAGAAAATGTGAATGAACGTATGTAAGTCGAAGTTAAAATGAATAAAATGAACAAGATGAGATTGTTCGACCGGTTTTGAAGGCATTCATCAGACTTGTCTATATAAAATAATAGATGAATTAACTTTTGATTAAAAAATTCTAACTAGTAACTTCTACCACAAATCAGTTTCTGAATATATAGGGTTAAGGGTTTTTATTTTTTTACTCAAAATTTTTCAATAATGAAATTATCAGGTATTTTACTATTTTTTGATGAAACTTGCCAATACACTTTAGAAAATTTATTTAAAGGAGGGGTTTCTCAAAAAAGAACGATTTGAAAATTTTCAAATTTATGGTTCAACAAAAAGTCTTAATTTTTGAAAACTTGGGGCAAATGCATTATTATTTTTGACTGTTGTTCTAGAAGTATTATTCACGATTACGGTTCCAAAGTTTAAATCATAGGTTCCCAAACTTGTTTGTGACGTGGGCCCCCTATTTAGCTGATATCGTTTTTTTTTATAAATTTGTTTTTGTACCAACGTTTAGTATTAAACATTTGAAGTAAAGGTACTAATCCAAATTAGGCATTTATTAATTGGCTACATAATAATAATAAAAGAGATATTAACAAGATATCGTGGATGACCATAGTTCCTTATCGTTGACGTGGACCCCTTGAAAGCTGTTATAGACTCCTTTGGAAATTACTGGTTTAAATGAACAAAACTAGTAAAAATGAACCACAAAAACCGAAAGGTGATAATTTCACCAAAAAACTAAGTTGCACTTAAAAGCCCATAATTTCCAAACAACGTGAGAGTTTTTTTTTAATTTTTAGGACATTCATGCTATCACCCCGTTTCAACTCCCTTTAAAAGTTCTTAGTCTTCAACAACTGTGTACATTTGTATATTTCCTTTACACTTCTTTGTGTACATTTGTATATTTTCAACTTGCTAACTCAATATATAGTTTTAAATGCTTCTATTGTTGATTGTCTGGGTTAATTAAAGAGTAGTGTAATTATGCGTTTTAAACCAAATAATTTATTTTTGTACCACTGAACGACGATCTCGATATGGGCCAAAACGTATAGATAAATAAGGCTTTAATTCACAATTGCATTAGTTTTTTTTAAATTGATGCTATTTTCAGAATTAACAAACTTGCTAAAATATAGTCCATTTTATTAAAAACTGTTATAAATTCCTCCTTATATAATAATAATAATATTTTTAATTAAAATAATTATTATAGCAAATATTATAATGTATTGCTACCTCGAGAAAAGGCCAAGAAGCAAGAACATCAAGAATAAATAATAAAAGTAGATTTCGATTATTCGCCCTGAATGCTAATGCGAGCTTAGGTACGTCTATAAAATGCATAATGATTTATTTATATGTATATATATATATTATATATATATATATATTTCATATATGTAGTATTACATTTATCGTGTTTCTATACAAGAGGCGCAGTTTTATATGTCGGGTCCGTCCCGACCTATAATTCTAATTGTTCTAAATTAACTTAAATCAATGAGAGAAAGAAACAAGACACCATTATTGGTTATTAAATGCACAAGACGTACGTCAGACGATTGCCTCGAATTTAAATCAATTGGTTTCTAAACATTATTGGCCAATGGTTAGAATATTCTAAGAATTATTTGTCAAGGAGAATGTATAATAAACAATTTGATATAGGTATTCTGATATTGTAAATTTTAAATTTTTATATATGTTGCCCTTAAAGTTGGGGCTTCATGATGCCAGATCCTGCGAGTGGATATTTGAAAAAGGCTGTCGAATGGTCAAATTATCATGTTTGAGAATTTATCACTTGAAATACTTGCTTGTTTTATTTAGATCTTCAGATCATTTTTGTAATTTTCAGTTATTTTAAATCACAATCATATATTTTGGATATTTCATACAACTATGAGAAATAACTCAAAGTTTATATTATCATGAACCCAAGCTTACGTATCATTGACTCACACAGAATATATTCATAATATTCAAATACAAATGTTTATGAATATTTCATTATACAATTATCAATTATCTAAAACTCATAACGCGAATTTTAATTCATCATTAATCTTATGTTTTTGCAAATGGTAAATAATTGGAATAGTTATGATTTAACTAATCGCAATTTGCATTCATCCTAATTATGGAGATAAAACTTTATCAGGAATGTTCTTGGATGGAGGCGGTTCACACGACAAGGTAAATGGTAAAAGAATTTGTAATTGATTACAGAAAAAATTGTACAAATTTCGACTGGTTGGTGAAACTGATGGTTTTCTATGGTAGATTCGGTTTCCTATTTCTCCACCTCTCTAGAAAGCAAATAATAGTATTTCTATTAAATAATAGTACTTATAAATTACACATACGGGTTCAAAGTTATCTTTCCATCGTGTTTGTTAGAAAAGTTTTCGTTAAGTGCGTTTGTAACGGTTAATTGAATTGACACTCAGCCATGTCAAAGTTCGTTTGAGGAAAATATAAGGGGAGATATATCAGAAAGGACACTTATCACGATTTTGGAAATTATTTCTATTCTGGTGAATTTTGATAAAAGATCAAAGCATGGATATTGTAGAAAAATCATGAGGGTTTTTGATTTTTGATAATGAATTAACAATAAAAGTGATCAATAAATTTGACACGTTGGTAATAAAAACTTGGGCATCATGTCGTGTTGCCAGTGGGTCAATCCAATAAAAATAAAGTTAGTAAAATGCACTTATTTTTGAAATAAAACTTCTTTAGGCGCGACTAGGGAGTAAATCTGTGCAAATGCAACGGAAAAAGCGTTACGGCCGAGTCGAGAGCCAATGATTACATACGATATATGTAATTAGTTTAATCAATTATGTACAGTAACAAATTACCCAGGTACCAGATGGTCAATAACAAAAAAAACTTTCATCAACATCACAGACACAAAATATTTTTCCTGCATTTTCCAAAAAACATACCCCATTTTTTAATAAGCAAATGAACCTTTAGAAGAAAATTTAAAAAGAATTTAATTAATTAATTAAATGTCTGATTTACCTAAAACAATCGCTACTACACAAGATTTGGCCAATAAAATTGAAGAAATAATATCAATTTATAATTTATAGGAAGAATATAAAGTGTTGTTGATTTGAAAAATTAATCAATCCAAATTTTCGAAATGTTCATAAAATATGAAAAAAACTGATTAGCCGACATGAACAGGGTGACCCAGAACTCAAATATAAAATGTTATAGACTTGAAAAATTGATCAATCCAAATTTTCGAACAGTTGTCTCAGAAGTCAACGTCCATCCGAAATGTGGTGGCACTACTAATCACAAATATCATGGAAAAAGTTGAAAAAAAAAATTTGGATTGAAAAAGTTTGAGCTTTTAAGAGCCATATAGAATAGCTTTGATAAAAATGTGTATATGGTAAAATACTTGATAGTTTCATAATAATAAAAAATCGAGTGAATAAATAAAATTATTTTTCGGTTTTTATTTTTCTACTCATTTTTTTAAATGAGCCTCCAAAATCAACAGATTTTGAAAATTTTAAATCCATAGTCACAATTCTTGAAAACGTGGGACAATTGTGTCATCAATTGTAACTTTGGTTCTAGAAATGCTATTAAATGTTACAGGTCCCAAGTTTAATGAAGAAAATTAATAAAAATTAACCACAATAACGTAATATAGTCACATTTTCACCAAAGCTCTAGGTTGTACTTCAAAGCTCAATTTTCAAACTACATAAGTTCGAAATCTCAGATTCGAAGTCCATAGCTCTAACCACTAGGCAACAAGAAACCCAAAGGATCAAGCAACATGATTTTAAGCAACAAAAAAACAGCATTTTGTTGCTCCAATTTTGTAAAAAAAATAGAATTGTATAAGTATAATATCAGTTAAATTGCACAAACTTTATGAAACAAAAATATAATTGTAACAAAATTATAGATTATCCTCAAATACTTGGTCAAGTATCTTTTAAGAGGTGAACCATTATAGCAGAAATTACTATATTAGGAATGGATTCTAATATTTTTGAATATTATAGTCCAACTTGTATTTTTTATCAAAGACAATGATCCTATACCTTTAGTGATGTTTTTACTACCTTTACAAAAAAAATCGTTATGATTTGTTCAAAAGAATGATACATTATGAGCTTAAGAAAATAAGAATAGAAGTTCCATATAGTTCGTTTATAGTTGGTCGCGCTTTGGACACAGTTGGGTGACATAAAACAATTGACCCGACATACCAAAACACTTACAAACAAAATACACACACTGAAAACATGCTGAGGAACACATATGATGGCACATGATGATGGTTGTGGAGAACATCATATGAGGAATGAAAAATATTTGAAATATTAAAATCGATTAAAATCTTACTGATTTACTGGTATTTTATTTTAATGTAATGAGCAGATTCATAAAATTTGGTAAAACATAATTTAATAATAACAGCAATACAAATAATTTCGAATACATATCCAGACATCCACCAATCACTGAATTAGCACTCAATTTAGATATTTTAACTAACATTCCAAACATTCCTACTACCAAAAATTAGCTGATGTTCCGCAACGGAATAGACGCGGATAATTAAAAAAAAATCTATAAAATATACCAAACACTTTACTATTTTACAAACAATAGTTATAGTTGTATCATGCAGAAATTTCTTGGAAAATTTATACATTGATGTGGTGTAAATTAACTCGTAAATTAACTCGCCAGGTAAAATGGTCTAATAGGTATGTGGAATACACCAAGATCATTGATTACCATTATATTGACATCGTACTCAAACCCGGACGTTCAATCACTGGGTTGGCGTTCGATTTAGATATTCTAAATACTACCAAATTTTGCTGATATATCAAATGGAATAGGTGCAGATATTAACAAAAAAAAATTGGACCAAACGTAAATAACCATAATAATTATGATTATCATCATATCATTATATTTATGTATAACATTTTTTTTAATAATTATAAAAATACTTCTTTACATGAATAATTAAATAAATATTTAAAATATTTTCCATCAATAAATACGGTTTTTAACTACTAACTACAACTCAAATATGAATGAATTTCGAATAAATAAATAAATATATTAAAAAACTAGAGATTCATGGTATTGTGCCTTAAGGCAATTTGCTGGAACTACCTGTACCGTTATTAAACATTTACAAAATAACCAAAAATCAACAAAAACTTATCAATGTTTAATAATATTTTCAAACAAATTATTATAAATACTGTAAATTTATTACGGTGCGTATTAAATTGGGCTACGAGCTTATTCTACAAACTAAAAAATAAATTTATTCGAAAATTTAGATTTATCTGAAAATTCTCAAGTTTCGAAAATTTGAATATTTTTGGAAATTTTGAAATTTTCTGATAATTTTAAATTTTTTTTTGAATGTTCGAATTTTTTTAATTTTTGAGAAAAAAGCTATTGTTTTAATTTTTTTAGAAAGTAATAACTTTGATACAAAAACAATGTACATACTATTTTAACAATCTCCAAAATAAAACAAAATCTATTTCAAATACCGCTTCAAAATCAATGAATAAAATAATAAGTTTACATTTTTCTCAAATACTTTTTCAAAAACCAATTTAAATTATTTTCTAAAATTTCTAGAGCAAAATGTTGTTCTGTTGTTTGAAATCTTGGCAAATGTTGATTTTAACACGTTGGTCGCCGTGTCAGTCGTATGTGTCTGACGTTAAATAATTCTACATGAGTCATAAGTCTGACATATGCGATTTGGTAGTTGAAAAGTTGAAATTTAGAGCCATGCCAGTCATATATGTGTGACATAAAATATAGTGTTTTTCCATGAATTTTGGCAAAAAGACTCTTTTTTGATACATTAAATTTCTTGATACATTTATCTAATAAAGTTACCATGGCCCATGCGAAATTTATTCTGGTATTATCGTGGCGATTAACGTGTTAAAAACAATAAGAAAAAAAGTTTAAAAAAATTTAAAATTCGTTAAGAATACTATTTGTATTTATATTCATTTTTGGATTTATATTTATATTTGTTTAATATTTAAATTTGTATTTATTTTTGAAATTATATTTTTATTTATATCTATGTTTAGAATCATATTTATAGTTATATTTATACTTTTACATATCATCATTAGTACAATCTGTATTGATTATTTTTGTATCTTAGTAACAATTCATTCAATTATTATTAATATTTCTTCTTATAGATAAAAGTTCTATTTCTGAAAATTCCTCACTAGACTTTTCATTATCAATTAATATCAATTAACTTTAATTATCCGATATCGAAGTGTTGGTACTGAAATTTCCGAACGTGTACATTTCTTATTGACGATTTAAGTCTAAACAAAAGATAGAATCGCGAATTGTTATCATATCTCGTTATCATGTGTAAATTAATTAATAATGCAATATAAAATATTACGCAGTCTTCGAGATATGAATAATCTTATCTTTGGCAAAAATGATACGGTAAGCCAAGATGAGAATGACCACACATACCTAAATAAAACTCGATTGGATTGGGAATGTGATGTTTAATAAATATTTTAATAAAATTGGTAAATGATCGAGGTTTGTTTGTTATTTCACAGCAATCAGAATTATTGCATGATTAATAGGCAATCCATTGATTGTCCTTTATTATATTGCAACTGAAGAGATAATTTTTGGATGCATATTGGTATATTATATTATATATTTGCCATTTATATTTCCAAGTAAAATCACTACTGCTTGACATCAGACAGTTCGA